CTTCCCCCATAATATCATGGAAGTGTGCGACCCTTGACCACTTTCCAAAATCTTGGAGTGGCTCCAAAACCTTGGAGTGGCTCCTCATCAAAAATTATTGCCCACTCTTGGGCTATATCCATGGGGATATGATCCTCCATAAGGTCTGGCTGTAAAGAGACCTCCATCTCCCTTTTAACCTACCTAAAGAACATTCTATTACCATACAGCATCTGCTTAGGCTGTTGTTGAACTGCTCCTTGCTGCTGTTCAGGTGCCCCATGTAACGTTTCATGAACCAAGGCTGTAAGTGAAAAGCTGAATCATTCGACTATGGGCATTTCCACATTCTGCCTCCCTCCTATATCCCATAATCTTGTGGTCTGCAAAGAAAGTTCCTGCCTGCCACTCTTCGTGAAGATGTGTGTGTCAGAAGCTTTCCAGACCACCCTGCATTTATATCTCTGAAATGCCCACAGTGATCCATGAGAGCCTGAAGCACCTTTGAGAAGTATCCCTTTCTGTTGCTGACCTCTGTGGCAAAGTGAACTGGTGCTACAATTGGAATGCATGCCATTGATAGCCTCACCACAGTTAGGAACTCCCATCTCTGCAAAGCCAGCCACTTTGTCATCCATGTTTTCCAGAGTCACAGTCCTCTGCTGCAGAATGTGATTTATTGCCCTGTACACTTACAGAAGTTAACAGTAGAATTCCCCACTCAAAACTGATTTGTAACAAACCAGTAGCAATCAGGAGTTGCCAGCTTCCATGCAATTACCACACTCTGCTGAGAGGGCAGTTCTCATTCGGGCATCCTTGAGCCACAGTTCGGGGGGCCAGCTCAGCACACAGCCCGAAGAAGGTTGTTTTAAAGTTCTCTAGCCACTGGTCTTCATCCCACACCTGCATGACAGTGTGATCCCATCCCTGACTTCTAGTTACCATAGCCCAAAAGAGTCTACCCTGCACAAGTGCTCTGTGCCAGCAAAATGCAGTGTCTGGTTGTTGCTGTCCGTGTCACTCAGTGCTTTGCTTGCAACTCTTTTTCCTCTGTCAGTAACTTCTATAATAACTCGGCTATATTGTGTGATGACCTCATGACGCTGAACACCACACAGAGGAGAAATGTGGGTGTAACGGGTCCCTT